TGAACCTGATTCACCAAGAAATAATTATACTAGATTATTTTGTCGTCAACTGGAGCGATTGATGAATCATCATAAGTCATTTCCAGATGATTTTTGGGTTCAGTTACATGATGATATCCTCTGTATGCTAGAGACGTCAAATGGTGAGCAAAATAAAAGTGATTGTTGGACACATTTCTTCCGAAGGATGAACTTTGAAGCTGAATTGGAACAACGAGAGTTACAGTTTCACCAAACGTTTGGAGAACGAAAGAGTTTGAATCAGATATTTTGTAATCATAAAGAGTTTTTTGACGCATATCTTCAGAAATGTATTTCTCTTCATTCTAAAGCACAAGTGCAACTTTTGGTCGAGAATGTGGATGATCTTCTGTGTAAAGATTATGGACTGACAGGTATTTTGCTCACTTCAGAAAGGCGTCAACGTCTAGAAGAAAAATTTAAATGTATTGAAATAACTCTCGATTGTTCGAATAGGTTACTAAACTCTTTTTGTCTATCATTTCCTACATACAATAAATCATATGCAACAGACAATATTAGTCCCGGTGTTTTTCTACCATCGACCGCGCTAACATTACCAATGAATAAAAATTATAACTCAGAAAACATTAAGAGTTTATTATTACATCATCGATGGATTGTCGTTCTTGGTGATCCAGGAAGCGCAAAAACAAGCTCTCTACGATGGATCACACGCATTTTTGCTGAAACAGCTCATCAAGGTGATGACATTATAGTTTTGGATAGAGATCATTACCTTCCAGTTCGCATTCCCATTTTGGTTCGAATCGGTGAATTTTCATCATGGCTTCAGCTGAATCCAACAAAGACACTGATAGATTATATTGGAAAACACACATGGTTTTCGCATTCTTATTGTCATGATGACAATGGAAGTGTATTGAAAGAATTGATATATCATGGTCATGCTTTGATTCTACTCGATGGACTTGATGAAATTCCAGAAGTCGGACGAAAAGGAGAGATTGTTGATCATGTTCGAAAATTTATTGATAAATATGTGCGCGCATCTTACTTTATTTCGGCATTCGATGATGCACCTTTCGATACTCAATGGCCATTTAGTTCGAAAATAAAACTTTTTGGAATGCCGCCACCGTATAAATCCAATGGCAATCAAATAATTGTCACCAGTAGAACTATCGGTTATCAGTTACATCCACTAGTGGGTCCTTCCGTCATACATTCATCGCTGTTATTAATGAATCATGAAGAAGCAAAACAGTATGCACATGACTGGATATTACAGGTCGAAAAAGTTGTGGTTGAAATTTTATCGAATGAAGGTTTTGAAATTGATGGAGCAACAATAACAGTTTTATCTCAAAGACGCTTTAATGCTTTAAAGAGAATGTTTGAAAATGATTCGCATTTATTAATGTCCAATCCTTCGTTATTATCTTTAATCTGCACATTTATTTTTCAATCATCAAATGAATTCCATCCCAAATCTCGAGTAGAATTATACAACCTTGCCGTTCGAGCAGCATTGCATTCCTGGAGAAGTCAAGAGTCAAGCATCTCGAAAAGTCTCCTAACTAATTTTCTAATTAATCTTGCCACTTATTTGCATTTACAATCTCCATCTGGTCTCATAGATGCCTTTGATATGGAGCAGTTGTGTTGTTCAACTTTGCAACAACAAGGTGTTTCAACAAATCGTGCAAAATTGCGCGAATATGGGAGGAAGTTGATATCTTTGCTAGACTCTAATGTTGGAATTATAGCTGAACGAGGTTTATTAGTATTTGGCTTTTTACATTCGTCATTTCAAGAATATTTTGTGGCGCAATGTCTTGTACGAGGATCTTCAATCGATGAAATTGCAAAACGTATACTAACATTTATTGTTAATTCTCGCTTTCGCGAACCAATTTATATGGCTCTTAGTTGGATTAGTTGGAAATGGTCATTTGATGATTATGATAAATTTTGCAATCTACTTGTTACTCTAACTATGGATTTTGCAATGCCATTCGGAACGCTCCTTTTCTTTGATGCTTTCAACGATTTTCAAAGATTGCCTTCAACCTCAGTCATCTTTACAGCACTCAATAGTTTACTAGATCATCCGTCTAATATTATGGCAAGAGCATATTTACTACACGATTTATTTAAATTGGATGAGAATATTATAGTTAAATGGATGCAGTCACATTTAATAGATAGTAAATGCCTTTCTAAATTTTGCAAATGCTTCCTCACAAGGAATATGACATTCAACGATGAATCGGATTTTTTTAACTTGAGATTTTTACCACGTGTTATCTATCATCAATTGCTCTTGTTCCACGATATGGATACATCAGTTGGATTTGTCATTGATCAAATCCTTCGAAGAACAAAAACATTAAGCTTTGGTGAATCGGATGAAGCTTCTAAAAATGAATTATCTTTGTATTTTTCCAAACATAGCATCTCTCTATCCAATATTCATCCTTCAATACTTTCTGTTATTGTCGCTGTATGTTATGGAATAAATACTGAAATTCGTAAGTAGTCTATGTTTGTAAACGAGAGTTTGAGTTATTTAATAATACTAATCATGAACATATACAAGGAGCAAAACAACGATAAAGACTACGGACGAAGAGAACATAAAGGATGAGCTAAAAGTGGTAACTCAATTTGAATAATAAATGTATCTAAACTGGAACACATATTTGGATCTTCGTTGTACAAATCGAGTTACTACTTCTGGCTCACACTTTTAATATGTTGTCATGCACACAAGATAGAGGAAAAAAACAATATGTACTATAAAGACTATACGTAGTTACAGTAATCCTTCGACTTCAATATATCTATTCATAGAAAAGATATTCCATTCATCTATCTGAATCAAATGTTCGAGTTAACTGATATGAAGTTTTATCTTTTTTTAATTCACTTTTGAAATATCTTTTCGAAGTACATATACCGCGTTTATCAAAACTTTTACAACAGTTTTTGTTTTGAATATATCTCGACTAGAGAAACTGATAAAATCTTGATTCTTTTTTTCTGAAAAATGCGTCGTCGAAAGCTTTACATAAGTTGCCTAAAACATCCTTACTGCAAACAAAAAAGTCTTCCAGATGTTTTTATTATAATCAGTGCGATGGAACATAGCATTATCATGTAGGTAGTTCGTAGTGAGTATGAAAAAACCATCAGAACCTGTTGATAAGAATTTATATATACAAGTTTTGTAGAGGTTTTCATGGCGCATCTTTTCAAAAGAAATTCAGATTTTATCAGTTTCTCTAGTTGAGATATACGCAAAACAAAAATATATGCAAAACTTCTGTTACATCCGGTGATAGATATTGGGCTGAGTTCATTAAATACTGCTGTAGTTTCAGTAAAATTTTGAGCGTTGAAAAACTTGAAGTTGTTTATATGCGATGAACAAATTTTATGTACCGTTATTAATAGCTATCAGACTGGAATCTACCATTCAATATTGAGTGAAAATCAGTAGTAAAACTATGGTCATCATTAAAAACCAGTTCTCTTATAAGCAACATTTATTGATAGTGACACACGAAACAATAATATTTGTTATCTTTTTTATGACATGTCAATCATTATCTATCATAAGTGCCTTCTATCGTGACTAGAAGCACTAACTATATTTATGATAAAGGTTTAAAATTAAAAAACGAAAAGCTATCGAATAAAAGATTGGTATTATGACCAAATTTCATCAGTTTCTATCAGAATTTTACAGACAACTTATGAAAAACAGCGTCGTCGCTTGCTCAGAATGGAAGAAATAAAGTGATGCTATCTCGCCTGTTACACTTTGGATTAGACTGGGAGAATTTTAGTTGTTGAACTATATTCAAGGTGGATTAAATAGGACAATAATTTAGTCCGGATAATAACTAAAAAAATTAATTTTAATGTGAGTTGTGTAGTTCAAAACAATATGTCAAAAGTGATTTAGAATGGTGACACTTCATATTAGCTAACTCGAATATCTGATCAGAGAAACAGACGAAATATCTTTTTTATGAATACATATATTGAAGTGCATGACACTTTTCACTACCTTATATAGAAAGAGATCAATGTAGTATGATATTCTATAACTTGTAGGGGAAAAACCATCACTGGGTGACTTCGAATCTATTGAACAAATTCCTTACCAAGATGACAAGGACATTATAAAAATACACTTTTCGCCAAAAAAGATGTATCGTAAATCATCAGTCTTACCAGCACTTATTCAATACTTTACAAATGACAAAGAACCTCATTCAATCAAAATTCAAACGCTTATCAAAAACTACGAGAACATTTTAGAAAAATCTTCGTCAACCGATACTTCACTCAGTATTGTAGACACTTTCGTTGCACTGATCTGTTTGCAAGGTCTTTTAAATCCATTGATATATCAAAAATATGATGGATATCAAGCATTACCAATAGCACTAAATAGATTAAAATGGACATGGTTCTATTTAAAGCAAATATGGAATAATATTTCTGTCAATGATGAAGTATGTGAAATCTTTCTTGCATCTGAACTTGAATCAATCATAAGCGTATTCTTTGCACAAAATGATTTATTTGATGAACAATGCACAACATTTTCGTTACTATGTCTAATAGCATCAAATAAACTTGGTATTATTCCTTTATCATATCAATCGAACTTTAATATTTGTCATACCAACAACACCGAACAATCCGCAGAACGTCAACTAAAATTTAGTCACTCTGTCAACTGGATAAATTTGTATAAAATGACTCAAAATATTTATCCGTTCCAGATGTTACAAGAAAAATCATCTTTATTACTTACATTTGTACCACAATCTCTACAACAACTGTATTATTGCCTCATCATTGCTCCGACTAATAATAGAGATTCATTACCAATGGTGGTGCTCTTAGCGCACTGTTTAACGCATTTGGAAGATGTCATGAAGAATGATTGGAACTTTTATCTCGCTTTATCTATTTTGCACACATTATTTAAAGAAAACATGTTGGAAAATTATGCTTTAGTTCTCTTCTGGAAAAACCCTTCTGCTACTGAATTCGAAAATAATAATCGCAAAGAATTTTTGAATGTAATGAAAGATCATATGTTATTTGATCAATCATTGATTGATCAACCGAAAGATTGGGAAATACTTATTAACATAGAACGTCAACGCATTTTCGATATGAAAAGTACAACAGGAAACCAAGGAAAAGATTTACGACTTTTTGCTGCATCGATTTCTCTTGCTAGGCTTTATCAAGCTCAATATCATTTTTATGGCGATTTTAAGACTGAAAACATGAATCTTTCTTCTGTTGCAAGTAAAGAAGTGCGTTTTACAATAGAAAATATACTCAATCCAGTTTTACGAATCATTGCCCAGAGCATAATTTTAGATATGAAAAATCCATTTATCTTTGATGACGAACAAAGAGATCAATTGCAATGGGAAATCATTATTCTACTACAATCTCTATTACCAAATCTTTCATTATTACAATCAACTCTTTTATTTGTTCAATGTTACACGTTACACCAGACCTTTTCACTGGCTTTTCAACAGATGTCTAAGATCATCGGAGAAAAACTGAATGAAACTTCTACGAACAATCAATGTCAAGAACAAGAAGCAGCATATATTGCATTACGACAAGTCAATAACTCAGATCTTTCACATTATTTATCAGAATTCGCAAAAAAAAAGGAAAATTTATCTGATCTTTTTCATTTCAATTCAACAATATTCCACCGCTATTTTTCTAATACTACATCATTTAAATCATCAAATACTGTTCTTCTATCAATCATGTATTTAGCTGAGTTGGCTTTTGATGCTCAAATTCTTATAATATATACAAATGACGATGAAAAGAGACAAATTTCATCTTGGAAAGAATTCAAACAATTATGGAATGAGTCATCGAGTGATAAAAAAATAATGACTTTTCAAGTTGCATCATGGATTACACATTATTTGCAGAAGTCAGACAAAGATGAACTTCATCAAATTATTCGAGACGTATCTTCTTGCTTAATGATCGAAAAAAAAGCTTTTTCAGTGGTTGAGAAATGGTTCGATTATCGAACTAATAAAATACTGAGATTTTTTACACAATATGCCGCATTACAATTGGTGAAAGAAGGTTTAGATATTTCTGGTTCGATTGATATCATCAATGAAATATTTGATATTGATTGCGGTCTTCGTCTGAAATCGCTCGTAGAATGTTTATTTAATTCACGATTTATTCAGTCAACTACTATTCATCAATTTTTAATATTATTAAATACACATATTTATTATTCTTTGCACATTTCTGTCTATATTTACCATAAAGAAATGTTAGAATTACTTTTGAATTTGGAACTAAAACGAATTATCGCAAATAAACATGTATTATCTTCAATGTCAACAAAATCATTTCTATCGATGGTCTACGGTTGTTCAGAAGATTTGCAATGCTATCTCGCAGAGCATTTATACCAATTCGTCAATACACAATCTGAGCTTGAACATATGATTAAAGATGAATATCTTGCTGTTATTTTCAAATGGATTATTCAAATTTCGTATTGGAATAATTATTGTGAAGACATATGGAAAGAACTGTACACATATATTTTTACATATCTTCATGATCATCAATTTCCTCGAGTTCATAAAGCAATTCTCTATGCTCTCTGTTCAATGCTTGTTGGTTCTGACCCATGCAGAAGACATATTTTTATGCAAGATTATATAATTATTCATTTTGAGAAAATCATTTATTCATACGAAACATATTCAGAAGATGTTCTAAGTGCTTGTTTGCTGATTTATGGTAATTATATACTTAAATTACAAAAATCTCAAATAAATAAAAATATCTCAGACAAAATGCAATATTTACTTACTAATCTTTTTGAAAACTCATCATCACAAATTATTTCTATCAGAGCTGCTCTCTGTTTAATTTTTATAGAACAACGCAATATAATGTCTACTACAGTAATGAATTGGTTTAGAAACAAATGGAATATAACATCTGAAAAGAGATATAACATATTATTACAACAACCATTATATACAGAAGCTATATATTTATCTTATGAAACTGTCGACGAAGTTGTTAAACATATAAATTCTGATGAATTGATTGATAGATTTATCTTTGATTTTTATAATTATTTATATAGTGAACATAGTAATAGTTATAATCTGTTTGAGTATTCTCCTTATTATGTTCATATAGCATTGACGATTATTAAGGAAAATTTCAATCGATTTTGTAATGCTGTGAAAAACAGTTCATTTGGTGAAGAGAAATTCAAAAACGAATTATTTTATCTTTATTTTCATCCGACGAATAAAAACAGAGATAGTACGGCGTTAGTAAAACTTTATGCCGCTTTTGGTGTTCTTACTATCGATTTATTTGATATGTTGAAATGGATGAAAGATCATTGGGATGATGATTTATGGAGTTATCTACGACATATTAAGAAGGTTTCTGATCGAGATGTTATTGAAAAATTATTCGAACTTTTAGATTTAATGGCATATGATACAAAATCTACACATTTTTCATATTTTGTAAAATTACTTCTTCAACTTGCTGAAGTTCATGTTATATCTTTGTTGGAAGTGCAACAACGAGTTGCATTTGTTTTCAATAAATTATTCTGTGAAAATATTTCCACTGAATGGCGCGATGAGAACCATATTTTAAACTTATTATTAAATTCGACCTGCCTTAAAAACGAACTATTATTGAATTCTGAGACAGAAGCTGTTACTGAGAATGATATTGACGAAGCATTTGACAGAGAAATTCAAAGTGTTGACAAGGAATTAGCTCTGTTTCTCAGAAAAAATCACTTCCTTACTAATTTTTGAGAAATTTTGCTTTAAAACTCTTTTATTAACATGTTTTTCTCGAAAATAAATGTTTGCATGACTGAATTTCTTCAACTAGTATTGTTTTTCTGCAAATAATTAAACTTCTTTTTATTAGTTTCCTTCGCTCTATTCTTTTTTGTAAGGACGTGAACGTGTGATTTTTTCAAATCTATACTTTTTCCTCTCGATTTGTTTAACTTTTATTTTGAATTAATACCTAAATTTTATTAAGTCTTTAATGATTAAAGAGTCAATGATTCGTAGTGCTACATACAACCAATTTGTTTTATTCAATGTGGGTGTGGGTGTGAGTGTGGGTATGGATGGGGTGTGGATGTGAGCGTGGGTGGGGTGTGGGTGGGGTGTGGGTGTGGATGTGAGAGTGGGTAGGGTGTGAAAGTGGGTGTGGGTGTGGTGGTGCGGGTGTGGATGTGGAGAGGATCAAGATGCGTACCCACACCTCACACCCACATCTACACCCCACACACCTCACCAACACCCATATCCATACCCCACACCGACACCCACCCACATCCACACACCCACACCGGCTAACCGTCCTGAAACGGCTCTCTCTTATAACAACCTGGGTTCTACGTATTTTAAAATGAAGGATTATCCAAGAGCACTTTCGTGTTACAATGAAGCGCTTAAAATTTAAAAAAAACTCTTCCTGAAACCCATTCTGATTTGGCTACTTCCTCTAATAACATCGGTGAAGTGGGTGTGGGTATGGGGTATGAGTGTGGGTGTGGGTGGGTGTGGATGGGTGGGTGTGGGTGGATGTGGATGGGTGGGTGTGGGTGGGTGTGGATGGGTGGGTGTGGGTGGGTGTGGATGGGTGGGTGTGGGTGGGTGTGGGTGGGTGTGGGTGGGTGTGGATGGGTGTGGATGGGTGGGTGTGGGTGGGTGTGGGTGGGTGTGGATGGGTGTGGATGGGTGGGTGTGGGTGTGAATAAAAGGACACCCACACCCACACTCATCCACACCCAATCCCACACCCCCACTCACACTCACCCAAACCCACACACCCACAACCTCAATGGTGAACGAAATAAATTTAATTGAATAACTGCATCTTTTATTTGCCCATAAACGTAAATGCTCCATTTTGAAGTAACTCCTTGACAAGAATGTTCAGTCAATAATCTGAAGTGAAGCCAAAAAGTGTTGGTACACTTTTTTTCAAAATAGTGTTGAAAATGAAAAAAGATAATTTTATAAGGAAGAAAAAGATATTTCAATTGAGAAGGCATATTCATTATGGAGATAGAGAAGCAACCATCTAGAAACTCATTTACATATAAGAAAAGCAGCACAACTCATTTGTAGTTAACAACAAGCGTCGTGCATGATGTTTTTGAAATTAGACACTGCAAATGACACAATAAAAATGAAAATTTTTCTAAAAAACTAGAAACATGTTTGCTTCTAATCTGAACTCTGGTGTAAACAAAGTGTATTTACATGCACCAGAGTTTTCTTGATTTGTTAGTGTAATCGGAAGATTAGCAGAGTATTTATATTGTAACGGTCGTACAAGTGAGGAGCACTATATTTTCATTAACGTGTAATAATCCTTTGAGAACAACATCAATCTCTTTCCTATTGTCTTTCAACTCGCAACAAAGCTATACTTTAAACCTATCATGAAAAAGATCGAATAAATTGAAGGCTGTGTTATAAATACGAAAAGGACCTAAAAAAAGTTTATCTATTGAGTTCTTGATAGTTCTAAAATGCGAAAATCGTATCAAATCAATCTTGGAGTTACAAAATAGAAAGTTGTTTCAAAAACGGAAAGACATGAAAGTGAATGTGTTCCTCTCTCTCTCTCTCTGTTTACTGCAAATATATTCTGAATTCTTTAATTGTATAGGTGTTCTTCGTTCTTTATCTGCTTATATGGTGTTGCCGATCACTTCTACTTTGAGTTTATCTTCTTTGTTATTCATCATTTGTTTAATTTTGATAAGGGTGTGGGTGTGGGTGTGGGTGTGGAATGTGGGTGTGGGTGTGGGATGTGGGATGTGGGATGTGGGATGTGGGATGTGGGATGTGGGTGTGTATCTCCTCTTTATCTACATCCACACCCACCCACACACCACACCCTGTTTTCGCTTAATTTCGAGAGAGTTCTCAAAAAATGAAACCGCTTCTTTGTATTCTCCTCGATCCTTTTTCACACATGCAAGCTGATCATAGATATTGGCTCTGTCATTGTCACTAGAAGAGTTCTTGATTAACTCATTGTAAAGTTCTTCAGTCTGATTGAAGTGACCTATTATGAGCATTAGTTTACCCATTCGACACCATCCAGTTCCATCAATGTTCTTACGCATACGTTGAGTGAGACCAGCTAACTGTGGATCATTTCTTACCCGTCACTCTCACCCTCAAATTCATTTCAGTTAAACTTATTTCATGAATTAAGTTGCATAGATCTGATCTATACTGTTAAAAATAATAATTTTATACAATTAATAAATCTCTATTAAAAAATAATATTCATATAATTGATAAATTTATTAAACAATTCCAGTACAACATCAAAAGCTTTGACAAAATTAATTCATTTCTCTTTCGATATTCTTAGTTTTTCTTTTCTTGATATATATATATTAAATATTTTGTTGAAGAGCTTCGGGATTAATTCGATTTTTTTTATGTTGATAAATTTTAACAAAAATAATTGTTAAACAACGAGTTATAATAGCTAATCCACCATAAAGAGAAATGAGAGATATTATTGTTTGAGTTATATCATGAGTTTTAATATAAGAATATGAACAGGATAATGGTTGACATTGATTAAAATAATTTTCATATGATAAATTAGTTTTATATTCTTCAATCATTAAATTATTTAAAATTGATTCAATTGTTGAATTTAAATTAAATTGACTTTTTTCCAATGTTGACATATTTAAACTTGTAAAATTTCCACTCGAATCAATACAATTTTGATCATAAAAACAGTAAAGTTTTGTTTGAAGAATAGATTCAAGTGGATAACAACCACTCATCATACCTCCTGATGATTGAGTACATTTAAATGATAATCCACAATTACATTCACCATAATTTACAGGTTCTGTACGTGCAACTTGCAAAATAAATTCAGGTTGAAAAGAATATTCCCAATTAGTGCTCCATACATTCATAATCATATTTGAACCAATTATTTCACGAATTAAATTTAAAAGATTAAGAAATGAATTGAATGTAGTTGATTGAAGTCGATTTAGAATTATTTCAATTTGTTCAATTAAATGATTTTCAGATAAAAGCTGAGAATTAATAAAATAACTTGCCAATAAACGCGAAAGAGTATGATTTACTTTTTCTTGACTAAGTTTACAAAATGAAGAAAGTAAAAGAAATTGTCCAGGAGCTGAATAACGATAATCATCGAATGAAAATCGATGAAAAAGATTACCTTCACCATAAAGATAATAAATCCATTCATCAGAAATAAATTGACTTGAACATAAATCATGAAAATGAGGTTCAATATTAAGAAATGTTTCATATGGAATAGATATTTGTGAACAAGAACATTGAAGAGAATAATAATGATCTTTTAATAAATCTTTATAATTTGAAAGTGATGGTTTTATTATTTGGATAGTAACTGATTTTGGTTTAAAAGCAGAAAATATAAATATTACACATAATATTAATAAAAGAAAAATGAAATGAAATCGATTAATAAGACGTTTTTCAGTATTACATACAAATAAGTTTTTTATCATTGTTATAAATCCATTAAAAGAATTATTATTAATTGTATTCTCAATAAATCGAAGAATAATTAAAGTAAGTAGTTTTAATCCAAGAGATAAACCACCAAAAATACCAAGAATTGTTGTTATAATAAAGAATAAATCATTTCGACTAATATATTCATATGCACATGATGATGGAGAACATATGTTATAATATGAAGAAAATGAACTATTTGATGTCCAAGAATCAATCATAAGTCTATTGATAATTGATTCAATTGTTTCATTTGGTGGACTAAGATTTTCATTTAAAGGTGAAAAATTAAAAGATGATCCAAGAGGAAAATAAAAATATCGATCTAATTCAATCATACATGATAGGTTATAAAAACATTCTAAAGTTGATTTCATTAATCCTTCGACTTGGGAGCAACCCAGAAAAAAATTTGGGAGGATGAGATATGTTCTGTAAATCAAGAAAGTAGCTATATTGGAGAAGAACACACCGATAGGGAAAAGGCATGATGAAGATCGAGTACATGAACAATTTAAATATTCTTGTACTTTAAGATTCAATTTTATACCATTCGAGTCCATATAATAAATAAACTGTTGACTCATAAGTTGATTTCCGTGTGATACAGCTTGAAACATTTTAATTGTTTGTAAAAATTGATCGATAGTTTCAGATTTCCAATCATTAATAGTTGAATTAACTTTAGTTTCAAATCGATTTTGAGAGATGACTTGTGAAGAAAGAAATTGTGTTTGAAGAAATGTTTTGATACTAATATTAACTGTTTGTTGAGCGTGTTGGCATAACATTGACAATAATTGGAATTGATATACACCAGAATGTCGATAGTCAAGTCTTGAATAGTAATCGTTCCGGATGTTATCACCCTTGACATAATTAATCCATGCATCTGATGTAATATCACTTAAACATACTTGATGAAAGTAAGGTTCAATCGTAATAAAAGTTGAATAACTCATTGAGTCTGTTGAACATGGACAATAAAGATTTGAAGAATAAATTTTTTCAAGTTCTTTAAATTGAAATTCTGATGGTTGATGAATTGTTTTTTGTTGACGATCTTTATTTAATAATAAATAGAAACTAACGATAATAAGCGAAATGAGAAGAACGAATGAGTAAAGTCGAGTTGCAATTCTTTGATAATTGATTTGATGTTGATTACTTCCATTATCTTTAAACATATTTAGTTCAATTAAAGTTTTTTTCACAAGTCTTTTTATCTTTATTATTACTAAACATAAAATAAAGAAAGAAATAATTTTATTTTTAGATTTTAATTAAGAAAAAACAAATAAAAACTTTTATCTTGTCAAACATAATTTCAATAGTAAATGAAGTCAATCAATATAATCAACTAGACAGATATGTCGATGTACCAATGTTAAAAGAGGAAGTAACTGCTCTACTCAAAAAAACTCTATTTTCTTCCTCATAAAGTCTAAGATAACATCGAGATTTTTCATTGTAAAATGTATTTCTCAATTTTAAGAAGTTACTTGCATCATAACAAGTCAAATAAATAAAATCGATTTTATTGAGATAAAACATACACATATCTCGTAGTCTTCATTAACTGAGAACTTTCTTGTATATATCTCTTCTTCTTTCTCACTTCTTCTATTTCATATGATGTTATATTGATCATATTTTAAAATGGACAGTTATTTTCTGTTTAAGATCATGTTCATAACAGTTTCATCCAACATACAAAGAAGTTTTTTTTTTATTGGACGCCTCCGTTTGTCCATTGTGTCATCCTCTCTTCTATGCAAAGTTTTAAGAATAGGATTAATCCTGTCAAATATGGATGGAGCTGCCAAGAAGTCATAACATCATCGGCTGATCCTGCTTCGCCTCGTCCAAAATCTTTTTTCAGACTATTCTGTTCATAAAATTTTAAGAGTTAGTGCCTGAGAAAATCAGACATCGACGATGGAGTGACATTTCAGAATTCGCTGATTTTTTCATATGTTATAGAGAGTAGTGAGTTTAGTATTTCCTGAAATTTTCAGCTCGATCTGATTACCTTTTCCTATACAACCAATCAAAATACTAACGAAATTTTTGATAATTTTTCAAAGTAAATTTTTTTTACTTTTTGTGCAATTTTCTTTACTAAAAGTGGCTTTCTCATTTCAATTCGTGGGACTTTTGACTTTTCGTTTTTCTAACTATAACTATTGAGATATTGTCCTTCTATATACAAAACTTCAAAAGTTTTCATCGATCCTATCAAGAGTTTCGAAGTACGCGTTTGTATGTATTTTGTCACCAAAATGTCGGTCAATCGCATTTTGTGCGGCAACAAGTAATCACGTTGATATTTCTACCCGTGATAGAGCATACCAAGCTCTACTACCTAGGATATGCCACAATTTTGGCCCTTAAGAAAAGTCAATTACTTTTGATTAAGAGTTATATTTTCTCTACCATTGATAAGATATGTGTGAAAATGCTGGTTTATTTGATATAAGCTTTCCTTTCATGACTGGTTCCAGTGTTGGGTAACTCCGAAGTTAACTCCCGTAGCAACAAGGAATTTTTGGTACAACTCCATAGCGACCGTCGGAGTTGTAGACCGTTCTACTATCGTCCATTTAAGCACAACGTTGTAACTCCAATTTTTGTCTCACGACTTCGACCTAACTCCATCGGAGTTGAGTGGAAAAAGCCGGAGTTGCCCAACACTGACTGGTTCATATTCTCTTGTTATGTATTTCGATTGACCTGAGAAAAACAACATGACTACTAATAGTTGTCAAGTATGAAACTATTTGTCTGCGACACCTTGAGAAGGTTTTCTATGAAACCTTTTTGATTTCGAAAATTCAGAAGAAATATTGTATCGAGCCTATAAACTTGGAAAATCTTCAAGAGATTTTGTACTCTTGTACAATACCTGATGATATATGATAAAATCTCATGAAACCTGAAAGGTTTCGTTTGACGCCTTTTCTGTTTTCAATGCAATCAAGTTGTTTTCATTAGGTCAGTTGAAATATTTAATAGTAGAATCGACTAACATTTTCCAAAGGGAAAAAACTTTTGAGTAGACTTCTACTACCAGCCAAAAATATGAGCCCATTTGAATAAATTCAACTTGAAATATTTAAATTTCTTATCACCATATTATTATTTATCGGCTACCCTGTATATAAAGATAGAATTGCGAAATGGAAAAACATGCGTTTAAGAAAAAAATATTTAAAAACTTCAATACTGTCAAGGGATAGAGTGGTGTGACACCACGATTCGTCCATCTCTCAGCTCTAAAGCGAAGTGATATGTACAATCAGAATTGGTGTCGGTCTAGAATTTTCAAGCCAGCTCGATCCAGTCAGTCCAAAATATGTTCCAGTCCAGTAGAAACCGGCAAAAAGTGACTGATATGTTAGATAATTTATGATCGGTGGAAAGAAAAGGCCTCAGAACACACCCATTTTCAGATTTTTTTTTCTTCTGCTTTTGGTAACTTTCAACAAAAAATATGATACTATGCTCCCATATATGTGTGAATTTTTTCCACAGATCAATATGCGATGTTTCCGTATGGCAAAAAACACTATTTATCTACCTGACACTCGATTGCTAATCTACAAGTCTTGAATTTTTCACTTAGGTTTCACCGACAAAGCTAACATTTCTGTTTATATGATGATTCAATCTCAAATCTGGTTTGTAACAAAATATTAGTGAAATAATTATATTGACAGGTTTATCTCAAGTTACACTTTTTTTAGTTGTGCTTTCTAGAAAATGAAATAAAGTTTGATGAAAAAAAATTAAAATTTTTAAAGTAATTAGAGAGAATGAAACTGACTTTTTTCAAAAAAAAAATGTAATTATTTAGATTAAACAACTTCAACTTGCCCTAGATATATTTTCTTATGAAAAAAATTCTATATCTAGAAAACTATAACAATTCATTTTTGACTTAACCATGATGAGGACCGGAGTGAGTTTAGAAATTCCCTTAAACCAGTAAAACTCGACGAAGACCAGCCAGTCCAATACACAATTCAACCGGTCCGGTTCCAACTCTATGTACAATTGCTTTCTTTAGAAACTTTACCTCGCTCTGCTCATGTTCATAGAAAGAAATTTTAATGAATTGAAAGTAGTTAGCATATTCTATTTAATAAATCAAACAACTAAACTTACAAGATATTGATTCTGTGTTTTGAGATGATCGTCGTTGAATGAATCCAACTATATTTTCTATGATCAAACTACATACCATTATTAAACTTCCTAATAAACCAATTAATTGTGTCAGTACAAATTTCCAATCATATTTCTTATCCTCAAAATAAGTACATGAAATAGGAGCACATTGGTCATAATATTTCTTATAAGAAATATTGATCACCCATTCTTCAATCATTAAATTGTCAATAATAGTTTGTATTGTTGAATTTAACTTGTAACGACTTTGTTCGAATTCTGACATTGCTGTAAAAGTTTCAGTCGTAGGTAATAATGAAACAAGATTATTTAAACATGTTTGATTATAAAAACATTCTAATGTTGAGAGAAGAATTGTATTTACTGGTAAGCAGCTATGCAACATTCCAGGAATTTTCATTAATGTTTTATTATCAGGCGGATGATACTCAAGATCAGTTTGTCCGAATTCATCAAATATCATTGATTCCACGTTACAATCAATTTCGGTCCGACAATAACATGTGGAACGCCGTGCATCCGGGAAAATTCGATTATTTGTCTGAAGTTGAACGCCAACGTCCTGCACAGTCGTATAGCCTGACACATAATCAGTGTGAAGAGCAGATAGAAAACGGTTTCCGACTATCAATTTTCGTATTAATTCTAATTCTGTTGTGAATTCAATAAGTGATGATAATTGAAATTCATGAGTAATGAAATTTATTTGTGATTGAAATACAGATTCTTTTAAAACTTCTTGACTTATAAATAAATCTTTATTAAATGAGTCAATACTTTGAATAGCATAATCTTTTGAAAGTCGACAAAAACTTTCAAGTGATTGAAATATTGCACTCCCTTCTGTTCGAAAGTCATAAGCGGAAAAATACGTTGTATTTAAACCAAAGTTAATTGTTTTAATCCATCGATCAGATATAAAATCACTTGAACATATCTGATGAAATCGAGTTTGAATTGAAATAAATTCACCATAGGATAATGATATATGAGAACATGGACAATAAGCATTAGATGGTAAATTTATGAATTGATCTTCACTTGGACTTTCAACTATTATAAGTGTATTTAGACTTCTTGTTTTCATAATAATAGCGAGTCCAATTAGAATGATGATGAGAACAATAAAAAACATTCGAGTTGAGATAATATTTAATCGATGTTGATGTTCTTTTTCTTCATCGGTTGCTGTTGAATCAGTCGATGATTCATATATGTTTAAATTGACAAAATAATTTTTCAATGATAACATTTTATAACAAACAAATAATTATTAATTTCTAAAAAGAAAACAAGAATAGTTAAACTTCAACAAAAAATAGAAGAGTAACATTAAAATGACAAAAATAATTATTTCCTCAAATAGTAATAACTAATAGAAATAACAGATAAAAAGTCAAGTGTTTTGGTCTTAATCATGAAAATAAATAAAATTTATTTGAACTTAAACTAAAATTTTATTTCAAAAAGAAACGATTAAAAGTTATCTTTTATAAATACTTACTATTTAACAAACATTTTTAACAAAAAGCTTTGTGTTTTATATATTTTCATTCTCTGCAGATGCAAATAATTTTTCTATATTTGGCACTACTCTAGAAAATTTTCTGTATCCATCATTACATTATGAATTGAAATTAAAGAAGAATAATAAAATATTTTAATTACACTAAAACAAAAACTTTTTCAAATGTATAAAAATACGTAAAAAAGAAACTTTTTTAAATAATATTACGGAGTGCAAAAAAAACTACTCCCTTGAGATTAAAATGTAATTAAGTATTTATTTATCATTACAAAAGAACTAAAT